ACGTTCTTTCCTTTTTGAGAAGATCTTGTCTTGAATAAAGCCGTTGGTAATTAATCTGTCTTGAATGCTTAGTAACGCTTCAGAGTGTTCTTTATGATAATCAGAGTGTTCTTTGCTTTAACTTATTCTGACGCTTCTGAGTGCTGATGACTTGGTAAGGATCTTGATCAGAGTCAGAGTGTATATGTTTATGCGTAGATTCTGGTCATCAAGCTTCAGCGTATGATCTGGTAGCTTCAGCGTGTAGCACATGTTATTGATCTTCTGATGCTGATATGATCTTTTGATGCTGATTCCATCAGAACTTCTGTAAACACAAACCACAATTTTAAGTAGCATATATGTCTTATATATAAATCTTATAATTTATTTATTCTTGTATTTTGTTATCATCAAAACTCTAATTGAGGGTTGTAGAATCAAACTATGTTCTAACAGAATCTCATTTTTCATTGTCTTGCTTGGGTGAAGACTGCCCTGAGGTGTGATGCATGATCGGTGTCTGCTCGGGATTTGACGATCATGTCGTCCATGTAGACCTCGAGCATGTCTCCAATCTGCTTGTGGAACACCCTGTTCATCGTACGTTGGTAAGTTGCCCCTGCATTTTTTAGTCCAAAGGCCATTATGTTGTAGTAATAATTGCCCAAGCTGGTCATGAAAGCCGTGCAATGTTTGTCGCCCATGGCCATTGGGATTTTGTTATAGCCTGAGTAGGCGTCCATGAACGACAATGTTTTGTAGCCGACCGAGTTGTCGACCAGCATATCTATGTTCGGTAAAGGGAAAGCATCTTTCGGGAAAGCCCGATTGAGATCAGTATAGTCAACACACATCCTCCATTTTCTATTATTCTTTTTAACTAGTACAACATTTGACAACCAGGTTGAATACCGGGCTTCAGAAATAAAATTTGCCTCTAGGAGGTCTTTTACAGCTTTTTCAGCAGCCTCCGTTTTCTCCGGAGACTGCCTACGCCTACGTTGTACTACGGCCTTAGCGGCAGGATCTATGGAGAGACGGTGACACGCGACCTCAGGGTCGAGTCCGGGCATCTCCGTGGCGCTCCAGGCGAACAGGTCAGCATTTTCGCGCAAGCAGGCTTTGATTTGTTTCCTTGCCAAGTCGGGGAGGTCGATGCCAATCTTCACTCCCTTGCTCGGGTCTGTGCCGAGGGGGACGAGCTCAAAGTCCCCGTCTGGGATTGGTCAGAGGGGGATTTGCTCGCCGCTGGGAGGTTCGTCTTGGTCGAAATGAGCATCCAGAGCTATAGAGTCGACCTTTGGTGGAACTTTCTGGGCTTCTTCTTTGGCAGGCTCTGGCTTGTCGGGTTCTTGTCGCGTCGTCGCCGGTCTCTTGGCGGGCCTTGTCCCGGTGTCGACAGTGTCGCGTCCCTTAGATGCAGCATTAAAACACCTCCGAGCAGCGGCTAGGTCTCCCTGGATGGTAGCTACCCGTGCCCTCTTGGTGTAGAACTTCATCTTCAAGTGGACGGTGGAGGGTACCGCTTTCAGTTCTGCCAGTGTTGGTCTCCCCGGGATGCAGTTGTAGAGGGACGGACAGTCAATGACGAGGAAGCGTACTTTAACCTGCCTTGTCGTTGTGCCTTCGCCAAAGGTAACCATCAGCTCGACATATCCCCACGGCTTGGAGGTCGAGCCGTTGAAGCCCTGTAAGTCCGACCCTACATATGGCGAGAGATGGGATTCGTCCAGCTGCAGAGTTCGGAACAATTGACTGTACATCACGTCGACGGAACTTCCTTCGTCGACGAGGATGCGGTGCACATCAAAGTTATCCATTCTTGCTCTTATCAGCAGGGGAATGACTGCATTGGGGGCTCCTCCGTGGAGCTCTTCCAGGTAAAAGGTGATAGGCTCCGACCTACCTTTTACCCTCTCAAAGGTCACTGTTTACGGGGGTGCCGCGTCGACCAGTTCATCCAGCTTCCTTTTAGCCGAATTGATAGTCAGGTCGTTGAATCCTCCACCATTGATGACCATGGCGAAGGGAAAGTATTTCCACCTGTTGTGGGTCGTGAGCGGCTCCTACAGGTGCTCGGGGACGTAGAAGTCCTCGGATCTTGTAACGGAGAAGGCGGTCTGGACGGGGACCGACTCGTCAGATGGTCGGGCGTCTTCCTCCGGTTCTCTTGCTTCTCGGGCCTCACGACGAGGAGCGTCGTTTCGCCGGTATTGGGCGAGCCTCCCTCCCTTGATGAGGGTTTCGATGGCGTCCTTGAGGTGGACGCAATCTTCATTCAGATGACCATGGCTCCTATGGTACTGACAATACTTGCTTTTGTCTGCTCCGGGCTTGGCGGGAGCAGGTCGGGGGCGTTTGACGCCGCCGTCTTTAAAGTCTGTGCTGGCACACTCCGCCAAAATGCGCTCGCGGGAAGCTGTGAGCGGAGTGTATTCGGTAAAATGCCTCGAGGGTCCTCTTTGCTCTCGGACTTCTCGGGGTCTGTCCTCTTTTCTTTTCTCCCCGGTTCGTCAAGGAGGAGCGGCTTCCTAGCGTGGGTTGCTGCTGGATCCGCGAGTCCTGGGGTCTCGGGCTCTGTTGGCCGCCTCCCTCTCCTCGTAATCCATGTACGCTCGCGCCTTCTCGAGGAGGGCATTGAATGTTCTAGGTGGCTCGATGCCCACTGCCTTTCTGAATTCTGTGTCGGGGAGGAGCCCCCTCTCCAGCAAATATCTTTTCAGGTGGTCCGCGCAGGGGACCTGGATGGCTTCGCGGTTGAAGCGATTGATAAACTCTCTCAAGGTTTCATCCTGTCTCTGGATGATGGCCTCGAGAGCCGCCTCAGTCTTTGGGTGTCGTCGAGACGCAGTGAACGAACTTATGAATTGGTTCTTCAGGTTTCGCCACGAGGTGATTGATCCCGGAGCGAGGCCTTTATACCAGTCCATTGCTGCCTTTCTGAGGGTCGTGGGGAACAACCGACATTTGATGGGTCCTCCGACATTGTGGTAGTGCAGCATAGCCTCGAACCCGTCGATGTGGTCGACCGGGTCCGTGACTCCGTCGTATTCCTTCAGGTGTGGAGGCTTCTCCATGCCCGGGGGTATGGGCGCCTCCATGATTGCTTGTGACAGGGGACCGTGGGGGTCGTCCTCGTCACTTCGCTCCGAGGAGAGCGATGGGGACCTGTAATATTGTCGAGCCCGACGGTCCTGGTCGTGCTGGGCATCTCTCGAGTGTGGTGCTTGTTGGTTGATTCTTCCATGCCCGTCTCTGGAGTGTCTTCTTTCTTGTCGTGTGGGGGCGTGGTTGTGTCCCCCGACTTCGATGATGGGTTGCCTCTCCAAAGGGGGCCGTCTCCTCGAGGGTCGGGGAGATATGCTTCGGGAGGTGTCTCTGTAGTGTCTCCGCGGGGGAGACGGGAGATGTACTTCTGTTACTCGAGGAGGTGGAGTTTGGGGCCTCCTGTGTCTCCTCGCAGGTCTTCGATCGTCTTCTAATGCCCTCAATCTTTCCCCTTGGGCGAAGATGAGGTAATTCTTCTGATTGATCGCCGTGAACAGCGCGCGGGTTGTGGCATCTGCCCCCACGGGGACAGGGACTTCCTGAAATTGGGCAGCTCGATAGTTTGTGGGAGCTGCGTTGTCTTCTTCGAGCGGTGGAGGGACTGAAGAAGATGATGCAGTAACTCCGTCGCGGTGGACTGAGGGCCCGGGGTTGGTGCCCCCGGGGAGTGAGTTATGACCAGGGTTACCGGAGTTATCGGGGAGTCCATTTTTATCTGCGAGGCCGTTGTTGGTGTCGACGACGCGGATGTTTTGGTCATCACGAACTTGGTCAGCCATGACGGTATGAGGTGATTTGAGCTTTGGTCTTCGAGTTTTTGCAAGACGGGGAAGCTAGTTTCCCACAGACGGTGTCACTGATCTTATGATCAGACTTGGACCGTCACGACTGGCTCCGAGCAGAAGTTGAACGAGATGGGGGTACCTGCAAGGCACTCTGATGCTAAAGTGAGTGGTAGTACGAGCAGGCAAAAAAGTGTGTATATGGGTAAGAGAATGAATACCTGACCCTCTAGGAATAGAGGATATTTATAGCCCCTAGCGCGGGGCCAAGGTCCCTTCATTGGGCCGACCAGGACTGGCCCAATAAAGGAACTGCCAGGTTCTACGTGTGTAGTGGGGACCCGTACGTGGTCCCCTTCCTGGTGATGCTCAGCGAGAAGTACGGAGGAACGAGGACGCGATCTTTCTGGAGTTCAGGTGACGGAGTAACGGTCATAGTCTGTCCTACGAGGAGGGTGCTCGAGCTAGATTTCATGTGGTCGAGGACGTCGTGTTCGCGGGCAGCGGCGGGCACGGCTGCAGCTTCTGATCGACGCGCTGGCGGAAATATTCGGGCGCGCGTTCCTTATAGAACTGCTTGGATTGGGCCTTCGTTCTTGCTCTTGGGCCAGGACGGGCCTAGTCCAGAACAATAATCTTTTGGTTTATTTAATATTTGAGGCCTTATTAAAAATATATATAAACATCAACGTTGGGAAAGGGGAGTAAATAAACCATTCATTTGTTATGATTAGTATGTACTAGGATATGATAAATTGATAATATTCGAAGCTTCTTTCCCATGTTTGATTAAAATTTGTTAAAATGGTATAAACTTTTAACATCCATACATCTAACTATGCAAGCATTTGTGGGGATGCTTTAGGAATAAACATTAATATAATAGTATCGAAATCGAAATATAATAATTTGATTGGAAATACGTCTAAATTACTCTTACACACCAAAAACTATTACATATAGATTAAATATTACAATTCTCAATTATAGTCACAAGAGATCAAGAGAGAGAGGTCATATGAAATTCCTTTAATTAATGATTTTGGTGTACAAAGAATCAATACAATCCGCATAGGTTTCAATATAACATGTGATCTATTTTTAATGTGTACAAGCCAAGTAAAATGTTACGAAAACATATTCTATGTGTGTGATTTTACCTATGTGTTTTGTATTCTCTCTGTAACATTAAGTAAAAGTGGGAAGTGATAACTTAGAAAAATCATCTTGTAAATCTGTAACTGAAACTGTATTCAATGAGATACCAAGAGGGTTCCCACCACCTTCCTCAAACAAAACCAAACTATTTTCACTGTCTTTAAGGAAAGACCGAGGAACATGATACCTGTAGCAACACAACAAATAACATTAATCAGTATCCAAAAGTTGCAATTGTAGTTGAAGTGTCCTTGTCATAATTTGTTCATCTTTTTTTCCAATGTAAAATTACAAATGTATATTAACTCACAATGATTGTGAAGGATAGCCTTTGGAATTATGAAACAAAATCCAATAGCGACCAATGCTTTGTCCGTTTATCCAAACCTCACCTTTTCCCATTGAGCTAAGGTCTAACACAACAGGCTCATCTCCTTCCGGTGTCTCAAATGTTGTCTATCAAAATTCAAATTCAAATATGATATTAATCTAAGTACTATCATGTAACAAAACTAGAACTTCAAATATGTTAACTATTGCATTTCGCGAAAATGAAAATAGTGCTATTAATATCACAACCACTATGTCTGTAAATCCTAACTCAATTGGCAGAAACTGATATTGTTAGATTGAATGTCATCATTAGGATTCGTACCCTGATACTCACGGTTATGTGTGTGAGTTTATAGTGGTTATTATCACGGAAAAAAATTACAACCACTCCTTTATGTTTTATTTTACCTTGTACCAAGTGAGAGTAGTTTCATCAATCATGATATCCCCTAGTTGAGTCCATTTAACGTCTCTGCTATTTTGTTCTTCATATACTTCTAATTGCTCTCCAACTAATCCAACCTATATAGTGTACAAGATTGAAGAAAAATTTGAAACACATGAGGGTGAAAGTGTCATGTGTAATATACATTGTAAAATTCACATGATCAATTATAGGTAACCTGATATCCCCATGTAGAGTTGTTCAAATTAAGAGTCTCTTCTTGACTGCACTGAAGTTCTACATTCATTAAACCAGCAAATCTTCTTTCTAGAAATGCGCCCGAATCCTTTTAAACAACACGGAAAAATCCTAAAACTCGAACTTTAAAAAAAAAACTTTGGAAGTGGAAAGACATCATCATTATGTGCTACTAAAAAAACATACTGGAAGTCCGACCATAACGCTGAGAATCGAGATGTTGTTTGTTCCTTCGTCTAATATAACCGGAACCTCTAATGTAAATGACTTCACATCATGGTTTCCATGCACACCTTCTACAAAATTTGTTTAAAGTAAAGTAATGATCAATTAACACTTAAAGATAAGTATTTTAGAAACTTTTAGGGAAATATGTATGTGTGCGCATGCAATTAATTGTGCATATGTACCGATGAAAGTGTTGTTCACAAAAGCATGGGCAACATGAGCAGCAGAATGAACAACAAGTATTGGAGCACTGCAAGATAAATTGTTTTCGAACCTGTTCATAAAATCAACCAAACCAATTCAAACATTAATCCAAAATCATCGCTATATAGCATGATATAATTTAAGACCTTTTATTTCTGTATTGACATAATTTTTGAAAGGTTGAAAATTGATTTTGGAATATAAAAAATAAAAAATAAAAAAATCATAATTCATAACTCACCTAAGAGTATACCAAAGATAATCAGAAGTGTCTTTAGTTGTATTCATTTGCTCAAGTAATGAGTTTGATCTTAATGAAGTGTCATCAAAGTTCAGAATCACATCTTGAAATTGTTGCCATTCATCAACTGAGCTGAAATTTTGTCTTGAAGTTATGATCCTTCTGTTGCTGGTTGTACTGATCTGTGTATTAATCGTATAATTAAACGGACCAGAATGAATCGGAAAATCACGAAATTAATCAATTTGGTACGGTATAATTGATTCTGAAAAAAATTATAACTTACATTTGCAGTATTGAAAGCCACACTTTGACAATCTGGTAAGATACTTATTGACTTGGGGAGCAAGTCATATGAACTATTGCGAAATTGGATAGTAACATTGTTTTGTATATCATTGTTTATAAGGAATGCAACACATCCTCCATTCTCTTCTTCAAAAACATAACCCTGGTCAAAATCAAACAAAAGCCTATGAGTAAATATAATTGAATTGCATAATTAAGTGAAAATACAGCTGTTGTTGGAGAAAGAGAATTTGAGATTACTCACTTCCTGCAATTCACCTAAAGAGAAATTCCTCTGCACTCCTTGTAATAAAGTGGTTGAACAAGACTTGATTGCAGCATGCAACTCCTTGAGATGTCCATACTTTGGTTGTCTGAACAAACCTAAAGATAATATTTGAAAATTTAAATTTAATATTATAACCTTAACCTCTCTTACCGTCCATTATGGTCTTCCCTGTCTCGAGTGATTAGTCTGTACACTTGTACGTAGAGGATACTCAATTTCTACCACACAAAAAATGAATAAAATGTGATGTTATACACTTACCATATTCATCGAGCGGTGCTTGATCATAATAACCTGTTATAGTATAAGCCGAACCCGTTCTCCCAAAGTTTGTTCCACCATGATACTATATTACAGACAATGTCAATTAGATATGTATAGTATTGGATTGATTTTAGATAATTGAAGTGGATGTCTTAGGATACCATATAGTAATTGACAAAGCTTCCGTTTCTTGCGATAAAAAGAGCGACATGAAATGCAATGTCTTGAGCAGACCGTATATATGGCAATCCACCATACACTTGATAGCTTCAACCAGAAAAATAAATATTTAATTTGAGCTGAAAACATAAATATTTTTTTACTCAATAGTAATATATAAGGTGGCAATTCATGAACTTACAATGATGTCCAGTTCTCTGTCCACATTGCAGGCTTATTAGGGGAGTTTGGTCCTGTAAAAGTTTCTCCACATCTCATACCATTGCATGTATTTATCTGCATCAATAATATAGAAAATTCATGCATTTATTTACATGAAAACATTAATTTTCTTTGACAAAAAAATTATACGCAAAATAATTTGGGCTGAGTGGAACTTACCACAGGATCAGGAGCATCTGTTTGCTTGCACATAACCCACGGTACGCCCGTATTAAGGCCTACTGCCATTTTCGCAGCCCATTCAACATAGTGTGATCCTGCGGTACCGAATGCTCTTTCGACGTTTTGATATTCATTTTCAATCTTATATATTATTCCACACACATATGATTAACCATTTCAATTTCAATGGTGGTGGAAAATTTGTCAACTTAAATTAGTAATTGGATTTATATATTTATACCTGTGACAATATAATTGGGCCTCCTTGTGAAGCATATAAACCCTCTTCTTTCATCATATTCACAATTTTTGTTGTAAAATTTTGCATGTAGAACTAAACATGCATGCATAAAAGAGAAATATAAATAATATAGATAAATAAGTGAACATGTTTTATATCAACAACAAATGTGGACTAAAAATGTGTAGAAAATGAAAGTACCTTAAATGGCTCATTGTCTGTTCGGTAAATAATGCCAGGGACATCATGTAGCCAAAATGGGAATCCTCTTCAAGTTTACACCATTATAAATTAGAGATACCAATTTTGAATTAGTAACTGAAAATAAAATAAATTTACTACATATTTGTATAAAGTTGGTAGGGTGAAAGTGAAAATACCCATATGTCCATTCACTTTCAATGAAGGGTCCAATTCTAAGACAAACATAGAGTCCTTGAGCTTCAATTTCTTTTATGAATCTCACCAAGTCATATCTGCCGCTGAAATCATACTATATTGTATGTGTATATATGTATATTAATATAATGAAAATCAAATATTTTTAATATTTTAATATTTATAATTTGATCAAAAAGTACAAAATATTTATATTGTCCATGCATATCCATTAAAAAATTTAAAATAAATATATTATCATGAATTTATTTTGTTATCATAATAACTAGGACTAATTAAAAAAAATCATCAATTGAACCGAAATATCAAATCGAAGTTAAAATAATCAACCCGTTATGTTTAGTTAGTAAATCAAACCATATTACATAAATCAATTTTAACTGAATCGAATCAAAACTAAAACGAATCGAACCAAAATTAAAAATAAGAAATACTAAAAATAAGTTTTAATTTTTTAGAAAAAAAATTGAAAAATAGTTTAATAGTTTGGTTCTTTAATAAATGGTTAATTCGAGAAAAATTTCATCTGGCGGTTTGGTATATTTTAGAATTTTGAAAAAATATATCAAATCAATAATTTTAGTTCGATTAAATTCTGAATAAATTAAAACAGTTTGATTCAGTTTAAATAAACTTTTATTATAATTCGGTTTGATTTGATTCTGTTTTCTTCTGGTACCATAACAATCTTAATAATAATTACTAAAAATTTAGGTGTGAGTATTAGGGTTCAAATTACATGACGACCTCTATTTAACAATATTGACTTTTGTCCTTTGAAATAGGATTTATTTACATACTAGTGAAAAATTATTTTAAAGGAACTTATAAAGAAAATAAATCATTTTGTCACATTATCTACTTTTGTAAAGATATTTTGAAATTGAAGAATACGACATGAAAACAAGGTCGGAGCAACCTAGGAGATGCAGAAATAGGCAGCTACCTTGCCGGGTTGAGGTTCATGAAGATTCCAAAACACATACGTTTGTATAACATCCAATCCTCCTTGTTTTGCTTTCGCTATCAAGTCTCCCCACATCTACACAAACGTTTCAAATATTTTCAATATTAAGTCACTATCATCTTGTCTTGTTCTTCCTTTCAAGCCATTGATACCTATGAGTAACCGTAAAGTCTTTTTCTTTAAAACTTACTCATTCTTCTTTTTATATTAATAATAACACACACCTATAATATAATAGACGCAGCATATCTAGAAAATGACATCTCGTGAGTCCAATGAAACTGGACTATCCAATTCCAAACCATAAAGTTCATTTGAGACAGAACATTCTCTATCATACCCGTGATGCAATAGTGAATGTGTTACCAAAAAAGTGTTTTGGAAAAACCTCACCTACCAGAAAACATAAACAAAGTATGAGCTTTACTTTTGTTTCACAATATCGGTTTTCTGTGTGTTCTAACTTCTAAGACCAAAAACTAATACTAAACTGAAAAAAACTACCAAGTTCATAGATTAATTATATACTGAAAAAAACTACATGCAATCATGTGAAGGTACATTGCAGAAAAGCATATACCTGAGGGGTGCTGCGGGGGTAATGAATAGAACCAGAGAAGAGAATATTTCTGTGGCCATTGATGATAAGGGATCTTCCATCGTATGTTACTTCTTCTGCAGCTTTAACTCCAAAGCCTTGTTCAGTTGATTTCAACGATATTAACAACACCATCACCAAACACATCCATTTTTTCATCTCTAAACTCTTTATGTTATCTTTATATTCCTCTTTGCGTATATAAATAATACTATGTACCCGTGACAAACAAGAATGAAATCTTTTATAACTGTTATATAGGTGTAAAGAGAACTCAACCCTCTGTTAATTAAGTACAAACCGTAGATAAGTGAATTTTATTTCTGACTCTCACCCCTAGTGTTATTTTTTAAGCAACTTAAGTAAGAAGTCTTAAAATTCTTTTTTTTTTTTTTTTGAAAATGTTGTTTAAAAAATACGATTTTATTTTATTATTCAAATTTTATATTATCGAAAATAAATAAAAATACAAGTTTTTTTGAATATAAGGTTTCTAGAAATACATTTTTTCAAATAAAAATATCCGTTATTAATAATTTTAAAAAAATAATTTCTAAGATAATTTTTTCCTAAAATAAAACAATTTTCTAAAAAGAAAAAGAAAATAATCTAATTTTTTAAAAGTATTTTTTATTTTGAACAAAAAAAGATTGTCTAGAAATTATTATTTTTAAATTAAAAAATATTTTCCCGACAAATAAAAAAGTAATATATTTTACAATAAAAAAACTTTACATGAAAAGTTGGAGGTATTATAGCCTCTTTTTAATTTTAGGAGTCTTTACTTTAGAGGAATTATTATTGTGAATTCATTTATTCTTAAAATTTGGAGAGCTTTTAAAAATTTAGGCTCAATTTTAAGAAACCCATAGAAATAAAAGATACGTGAGGGTCACACTTGAAAAGAAAGTTGAGCGAATATTGTGAAGGTGAGATCAATTTTTATTTTCATTTTCATTAAGCAAATGTCCATATCACGGGTTTGTTGTAAATATCGTTGATATATTAATCTTTATAAAATATGAGATGAATATTATATTTAATGATTAAAATATATGAAAAAAACTAAGTATAATTTCATAAATGTGATTCTTATTATTTTTTAATAAAAATATAAAGAGTGTATAATGTTTTCTTATAAATATATAATTTTTAAAAAATATTTAAATATATTTATTATATTTTCATTGAAAAATAATAAGAATTATATAAATTTTTTCCAATACATATTTTATCTGCTATGGAAAAACTTTTTAAAATCTTTTTTATTCTAAATGTTTTAAAATTCTCTTGTTTTATTTTGTCGTGTCCTCAAAATATTTAACTTATTTCCTTTCATGATATTTAGCCATAAGAATTTTTAATGTGGACAATATTTTTTAATTTTTTAATTTTTTTAATAAATGAATTGCTTAGTTATACTTTTTTTAAATATTTTATTATTTTTAAATTCATCTGGCCTTTTCACTTTAAAATGTGAAAATATCAAAATATAGCACTCAATAGAATTTAAACATAAAACTTCCCCTTTATAATGGAGGTGTCTCACCACTAGGAAAAATCTATTGTTTTGTTAAAGTTTCTTGTTTAAATGTATATATTATATAATTATTTAAAATATAATATTTTTAATATTCTAAATAATATTCAATTTTATATAATTTTTAATATTTTAAAAATAATATTTATTTACATATTAAAATAATTTATGTAATATATATTTTAAAACAAAAAATTTTAACAAAACAAAATGTTTGTCCTAATGGTAAGGTGTTTCTTACAAAGGAAAAATCATGTGTTTAAATCTTATTGAGTATAATATTTTAATATTTTACATTTTAAAATTTTAAAGTTAAAAAAAAAGTCAAGTGAATTTAAAAATAAGGAAAAATAAAAAATAATCCAATTAAATAATCTAAGTCATTAAAATTTAAATTTTAAAATAAAATATGTTAGAAGACAAAAATTCGGATGATTAGATTTTATTAGAGACCAAAATAATGAAAATTTTGACATGTTAAGGATGTTTGCCCATAAGGACAACATACTAAGTAACCCTATATTTAACTAATTTGAAGTACACTCCTCCCTATTTTCTTATGTTGAAATATATGTTTTAGGAATAGAATCATTTTTTCAAATTTGAAAGTAGTTTAACTATTTATCTCGTGTTTTTTATTTATTATTGATAAATATTTTTCTATTTTTTATATATTTGTTGATTAAAAGATTACAATTTGATTTGTTTTAAATTAAAAAAAGATGAGTGGGATGTACATCTTTTTATTTTTGAGTATTCAGACACAAATTATACTTCTTCTTTGTACAAACATTTGTCTTTCTTTTAAAAACAATTATAATAAAACTCTTTTTTTTTTTTTGTAAAATCAACCAATTTACAAGATTTTTTTATTTAAAAATTACGTAATTTTAAATTCTTCATCACCATAGAAAATATATAAGATTTAAATATTGTCAAGCACAAATATAAAAATTAAAAATAAAAAAAAAACAGAATTTTCTTATGTTTACATGTTATATTGCTTGTTAGATAATTAAAAAATCAATATAATAAAGTTAATAATATCTTTTATAAAATTATTTAGAGGTAATTGTTTCTTAAATGAGTGATGTGTTGTGCTAATATATTTCTCATGCATAACTTACTCACAAATTTAAATTTAGTTTCAAACATTTTTTTTTTATTTTAAAAGGGTTTTATCAATATTTTTTTTATTTAAATAAACTTTAATGACAATTTCACTGTTTTCGAACACATCTCAAAAAATTTCTTATCGCGAGAGCCGACTACTTCACAGGGAAAGTTAGAGAATCAAGTCTAACATAGTTATTTTTGCAAAAGTGTTAATCTTATTTATCTTTTCTCCTATTAATAACTTTTTGTTTTTATGATAACTTTCTTATTTTATTATTGTCTTGTTGATTAGTTGATTAAATGCTTATATTTGTATTATTTGTTATATGATTTGAATATCATAGTATTGGGGTTCTTAAAAATCTTATTATTTAGTTAGAGGTCACATAATATATGTCTTTGAGATATATATCTCGTTTGGTTGGCATGAAGATCTCATTTAGAGTATATCTTTTTAAGAGAATTGTCATCTAATAATTAATCTGTTATTAACTGCAGTATTTTCAAATAGAGTTTGTGAGTATAGAAACATTGTTTAGAATCGTAGAGTCGTCATCGAAGAAGAATTAAAGTTTAAAGATTGTGTAGTGTTGGCCTTCAATATGTAAATCTTGCTTGGTTGACATGAAGACCTTACATAGAATAAATCATTTTGAGAGTATTGTCATCTACTGGTTAATATGTTATTAATGACAATGTTCCCAAATAGGATTTGTGACTCTTAGAACCTTCTTAAAACTCTAGAGTCTTCCTTTATGAACTTCACTAATTATAAGATATTTAGAATCCTTTCATTATTCGTTTGAGACTCAGTCACCCATAACCTCGTTGAAAACACATAGCCTCCAAAATACGTATATGGCATCTCATTACATTTGTTTTAATGAAAAAAACCTTATCATATCTCATTCATGCATTCATACGGTGAGATATTGGATCGAACTCCATTGGGTCGAAGAGTAGCTTCTGGTTCGACAGGTTTTATGCATTACCGTCAAAATATGTTCACATGCTGATGTCGAAGAACTATATAGTTTAATCAAAGTGTGTTCTAGTATGTGGGTGGCGAAATGCTAGATTTGTTAGTATTTTGAATTGGGGATGTTTGTTAAGTCTAGTTGTTTAAGTTAGCTTGTAATGGGTGTGATACGGTGGGAGAACTGACTTGTGGTTTTGCGTTTGTGTTCGCAATTGTGCGGTTTAGCAAGAGTCGCCACCGACTTTTTATTTATCCTAAGGAAAGGTCAAAAAGCACAGGAAAGACCTTTGAGATGTTTTCTTGGGTTCGGGGGGTAGATTATGAAAAGGGAAGGTGCTAGCACCCTTTTCATCCATGGTTTTCCATGGGCTCTTAGTTACTTGTTTAGATCACTTGCTTTTGCTTTTCAATTGTTTGAAATGGTGCTTTGTGTGTGTGGTTTTGAAAATGCTTTGAAAAATAGGCCTTGTCTAGGCAACCTTTGTAATGATTCTTGTTTGAATATATACAAAGGTGTTTGTCTTTTTGAAAAGATATTTCAATATTTTGAAAGTTTGTTTTGAAATTGTGTTGTGAGGTGTGTTTGAAAATGGCAAGGATGTTTTGCAAGCTTTTGATCAAGTAACTAAGAGTTGTCTACCCTATTTTACTCAAAGATCTTTCTTATGTTTTTAACCCTTTTGACAGTGTTATTTCACCATTGTATTTGGTGAACAACCTTGTGTTAGGATGTTAAACGGGACAGGCGCGAGTCATCGCATACAATCATTGAAAGCAACTTGTGAGATGCTTTAGCAATTTTGTAAGGGACGAGATCATTTTGTCAAAGGCAACATCGAGGGTCATCGAGGGACTACGATCTTTGTTTATCGAATGGGCATTTGCTAGAGTGTCTCATACTCGAGGGACATGATTGCATTTTCCGAAGCTACAAGCGAGGTTACCCTAGAGGTGCAAGTGTGCATTGTGTTTGTCATTTTCATGCCTTTTTTTGTCTTGTATTAGGTTATCTAGCGATTGATTTTTGAATTTCGCATACAAACCCTAATTACTATACAGTATATTGAAAGCAATAAATTGCGGGAATTAAAAGTCTAAGTTATTACAAAAAAGTATCCGGGGATGGAGGTACAATTATTTACAAATGAGGATGAGTCTCACAAGAATAATAATGTCCAAATATGTGTTACAACCAGATCGAACTGTCACAATTCAATTATAACAAATTAAAAGGAAAATCAATAAATTATGAGATGCATGTATTAAAAAGATTAAGTATTATATTTTTTTTTTATGTTTTTTAGGAATTATGTAAAGAAAAGTTTAAAAGAAAAGATTAATTAAACAAAGATTCTAGTATTTTTTGTATTTTTATTATATGTAACCATTATTAAAAAAGAAAACTATATTGAGAAAATCAAAAATAAAACTTAATCTATTATTTGTTTTTATTATTAACAATGTAAAACAAATTAATCTAAAATGAAATAATAAATAAATAAAAGTTAGTATTTGTTAAATCAA